TCGAAATTTATTTCATATTTTTTCTCGAAAAATACCTTAAGTTTGTCAGCATTTTTAAGTGGAACTTGAGAAAATTGATCATTTAGAAGAAAGAGTAATTTGGCAAAAACTGGAAAATTCTGAAATTTTGAAGAAATTTAAAAAACCGTATTAATAAAGGGCCCTTGAATAAATCTAAAATCAAGTAAAAAACGTCATCAACATTTTCCCAGCAACGAAACTGAGTTACTGCGCCGGTGCGTTGGGTTCACTGAGTTACCCAGGCCTACTCGGACCAATAGACAACAAGTGACGTATTCCCGGGCAACTCTACACCAGATAATTACCGAGAAAGGGCTTCAAACCTACAATAAATGTAAGATACAAGCTTGCCGCTAAGAGACAGACGGTGGTGCGCATAAATGAAACATTTGTAATTTGTGCCGCAAACCCATTGACATAGTCAGCAGAATCAAGTTCACTTCAGCCTTGTCTATTACAAAGCGCGTTATTACCATTGGTCAGGACGGGGATTACATAAATCATAAATTTCGTGGAAAATTGCAAACATTTGAGCGGCAGTGGCGCGTTAATGAGCGAACCGAAACACAAACAAAAGGATTACATGCGTGTCGATAATCGAAACCAAGGCCACCGGAATCCGTTTTGCATTTGTTGGTCGCGGACAGAATTCAAATCAATTTGGGTTAGTCGGTTTTGCTTCGATTAGAAAATGGGACATGATTATCATTGGCCACTGCTTAGTCAAGCCGTGAACCGTCTGGTTTTACCAGTTCGAAATACTCAACATTCAATCGCCCCTCAACTGGCTTAAGGTCAATATTCAATTGAACAACCTCATCGAATTCCTAGTTAGATGTTTGATTCAACCAACCAATGGCCTTGGCGAAATTAACAAATGCCCCAATCGAAAGACGCACCTTTCGTCAGCACGTGTCTTAGGGCTGGCAGCCCCCTTTAGGTCGTCGAGTTCGTTTTTTCTTCTTTTCAAAGGCCGACCCTTTCTGCGTCTTATCTGCAGATGTCTTGGCAGCTGCTCGCCACCAAGTGTTTGCATTATGTAAATTTGCGTAATCGTTGAACCTCTTCCTTAAGGAACAGGATGGCGTGTGTTCCATTGGCCCAACAATCAACTGTTTGTTTCCTGCCATATTTTGGGGCCAGAAGTTAACTTTGAATCAGCATCGGGTAAAAGTAAAAATTAATCAGTATCATCAGTTATTTAAGGCCTTCCCTCTTCATGGCCGTCATCGATTTTAGTCTTCTTCTTCAAGTGGCTTCTCCATTTCGGAGTTTGGCAGTCATCATTGCAGTCCTTATCGTTGAAGCCGCTGTTCTAAACAACTGGATGGATGTGCACTCTTAGGTTTCTCACCCAAGATGTGCGTCTGCGACCAGCTCTTTTCTTTCCTTGGATTCTGCCCCGCATAATAAGCTGTAGCAGTTAATACTTCTCCCTTCTCGTGACGTGGCTCAAGTACTCCAGTTTTCGTCGTTTAATGGTTAGTACCACTTCCGTTTCCTTATCCATTTTCCGCATGACTTCAACGTTCGTCACTTTGTCCAACCAGGAGACCCCAAGTAGCTTCCGATAAACCCACATTTGAAAGGCCTCTATTTTCTTCGTATTGGCCTTGTTGAGGGTCCACGTCTCCATCCCATAGAGGAGCACTGAGAAGACATAGCATCTAACCAGTCGCATCTTAAGTTTTATATTGATGTCGTAACTGCCGAGAATGCTCTTTATGTTGATGAAAACGGCTCGTGCTCTTTCAACTCGTATTCTGATTTCCTGAGCAAAGTCTTTGCTGGTATTGAGCATCATTCCCAGGTAGCTATATATGTGCACTCGCTCTATGGGGCTACCATGTATGTAGATGCCACCGCTCACACGTTCTTTCGGGATAATCATAAATTGAGCTTTCTTAACACTGAGTGTCAGGCCCTTTTCMTCACTTGCTGTAACTATCTTGGTTAAAATCTGTTGAAGGTCTTCTAGAGTTTCTGCGATTAGGACAGTATCGTCGGCATTCTTAATAGTATTTATTAGACCTTCTGTTTATTTTTATACCTATCTCTTCTTCATTTGACGCTTTTTTATAATCTCTTCCGAGTAAATGTTAAATAGCGATGGCGAGATCACGCAACCTTGCCTAACTCCGCTTTTAATTTGGACTTTGTCGGTTATATCAGTCTCAACTCCAACCACTGCTCTTTCGCCATAATAAAGATTCGTTATTATTCTTATATCAGGGTAGCAAGCTGTGTTTCAAGTAATATCTCGACAAGTTGGTCGTGTCTGACTTTATCGAACGCTTTATTATAGTCTATAAAACATGCATATGCTTCCTGGTTTACATCTAAACTCCTCTGAACTAAGATATTAAAAGCAAAAAGTGCTTCTCGAATTCCGTATCCACTTCGAAACACAAATTGTGCTGCTCCGATTGAAGACCCGAGACTGAAAAATTAATGCCATTTTTGCGTAGAAAAAGAATTGCTTAATAGAAACTTTGTAAAAACTATTATAGGATGACCTAAAAATTTGAAGGAACTTCGAAAATCTTCAGAGCGATGATGACGGCGAATTTTCCGAATATTTTTTTGTGAATTTTGCTACGATCGTTTTTTTCAAATAATCTTAATTACTTTCGGTAAAAAACTGAATAAAATTATTTGGTTTTTGTGCCAAATTCAAGACAGTGTTGTTTAGA